ACACATGAAATGCACAACGCAGCATAATGACTCAGCACTGGCCATCTGGCAGAGGTGGTGGACATCAAGTCTCCCTTTCCACACGGCACACTCACAGAGTGAGGGGAGTCTGGCCCACACACACTGCAGGAGTGACCAGCCGGCCCACGTCCCTTGGAGGTGGGGAAAGCGCACGAGTACATGGGATGCCTGTGTGCGTTCTTCACTGATTCACACACACACGCTCGGAGAGACGCCGTCTGTGCTCTGCTGCTCCAGTGTGGGTCACGGAGGGCTACCTCACCATTCTGTGTCTGTCTGACAGGCTCTGCTTACACTGAGCACTCCAAAATCATGCAGGCTTGAGAATTTAACATCCCATTCCTCGACTCACTGAATTCAGCTTTTGGAGCCCCATGTGCTCCTTGCTGCTGAACTGATGTTGCTTGCAGGCCCTAAGCCGACCTTGAGAAATGCTCAAATGCACATGTGTGTATTGACTCAGGTGGACACACACATGTGCGAGTACTGGGGTGTGTAACTGTGTATTAACCAAGTTCCACACACACAGCTATAAACACCTGGATGTGTAACCATTTATGCATTAAACCCAGCAGACATGAACATGTATAAATTCTTGGATATATAACCGTGTCTGTTAACCAGGTACCTAACATATATAAAAGTCTATGGTTTTGACTTGTGGGTTTGCCTTATTCTACCCCTTGTTTAAGTTAATACAGGCGCTGATACATAATCATGAACATAGGGGAAAGAAAGTAGAATGACTAGGGACCCAAGACAGGAACAAGGGAGAAATCCTTTGATGGGTGATGAGCAGAGCTTAAAGAAAAAAAAAAAAGGATATGGAAGGATTAAACCTGCAAAAGACAACAAGTACCTGCTTAAGAATAGAAGAAAGATGGCGAATAAATGGGGTTAGTCATCAGTTGGATGCATTCAAGCCTGAAGATTTCTATTTCCTTAGCACAGCCGAAGAGGCAAGACTGATGCTGAGTGAGAGATGGCATATCTATGTGGAGCCATTGCATAAAGCCTTGATAATCAGGTGCACAGCCGACGCCCTGTGCCATCCTTCGCACTGTGAGTGAGGCTTACATCAAGTGTGTCATTTACACTCACTTTCTAGGGAAGACTCTGACCTTCCGAATCAGCAAGGGTGGCTGCATGCTGACGCATTTCAGCTCAGAGTGACGGACAGGGTCATTTATAAACAAACAACACAAAATGGCACACATTCCTATCCGACTCGGGAGTAGTCTAAGCAGCTAAGCAGTGAAGTTGTGCAGTGTCTTAACATTGATCTATCAGCTTGAGCCTCGGGACACAAATTAAGCCACATGTGTATAGATATCACTTCCTATTTCGGCTGTGACAGAGGTGTTCAGTTCTAGCAGTTGCCTGTGGACCCATTAAAATGATCTACTTCCACACCGCCCATAGACACAGTCCATGCGCTCGCCATCCTACAGGCAAAGCATTATTCACATCAGTTGTTCAGACGCAGAAGGCCACGGTCTGGGAGCAGTCATCACACCACCGTGACCGGAGTGAACAAAGTCTTCATGGAGCCTCATTTAACACGTGCCCATTCATTGGCTGTCACTTCCTCCCACAACTCCCGCTTCCCAAGAATGAAAACAGTTGATACTTTGTTGTAGTATATGTAATAGCAGTAATTGGATGATTTGCTATTTCCCATTCGCCTTTGCAAAGTAAAACTGATAATATTTTACTCTGTGGTTATTGTCTGTGAATTTCTTGGTATGCACAATATGTACTTTTAGAGTAAAATTTCTTATGTGGCTCCAGGACACAAGAAGTATCAATCTGCTTCCTTATATTACACACACTTACACAACCAAAATTGTAAGAGGATTTGTCTCCAGCCAGGCAGTCATTTTCACAAGACAAGTGTGGTGATTTTTCCTTCAAAAGAATTGACACCAAAATGAAGCAGATTTGCTTCCTGTGATCTAAACTGCAGTGAGTTATTAAAACACGCATACTCTTCACAGCTGCAGGATGGCTTACACTGCAGAGCAGCTCAGGAGCTGTGGTCACACTGCACAGGGAAACGCAGGCATTCAGAACCAGCGTGCTGCAGATCAATACAAAGCTTTGATTGCAAGTTAAAGCAAAAAAGTCCTGAGCACCAAGAAGTCCTCCTCAGAGGCCAGACTCTTGATGACCGAGCGCAGAGAGCTGAGCCTCTGGCAGCCCTCTCAAGCAGCAGGGACTCAGCAGTGTCGGGATATTCTCCAAGTACCTGCTCAGAGTATAGATGCCCTGGTCTTACAGGCTGCTTACACACACACACACACACACACACACACACACACGAGGCATAGATGCCCTGGTCCAACATGCTAATCTCTCTCTCTCTCTCTCTCTCTCTCTCTCTCACACACACACACACACACACACACGAGGCATAGATGCCCTGGTCCAACATGCTAATCTCTCTCTCTCTCTCTCTCTCTCTCACACACACACACACACGGCATAGATGCCTTGGTCTAACCTGCTGGTTTTGCGCGCGTGCACACACACACACACACACACACACACACACACACACACACGAGGCATAGATGCCCTGGTCCAACATGCTAATCTCTCTCTCTCTCTCTCTCTCTCTCTCTCTCTCTCTCTCTCTCTCTCACACACACACACACACACACACGAGGCATAGATGCCCTGGTCCAACATGCTAATCTCTCACACTCACACACACACACACACACACACACACGAGGCATAGATGCCCTGGTCCAACATGCTAATCTCTCACACACACACGAGGCATAGATGCCCTGGTCCAACATGCTAATCTCTCACACACACACACACAGCATAGATCTCTCTGTTTCCTTCTCTTTTCCATGTCACTATGCTTTTCAAGTAAATGAAAATAAACACTTTTAAAATAAAAAGTTACTGCATAAATCTATGATTTTTGACCTGCCTCAATACCTAAAATATACTGGCTTTAGCTGATTGGTAATTCATACTTACTCTTCTGAAAAAAGTCAATAGTTCTGTGCAGTAATAGATACAGGTGGTGGTCACTACTCACGCATTCCATGCATGCAAAGTCATGTATTTGCTAGGGATTATTTGCAAGCACAATCACTACTCTGAAAGCCTCTGTGGCCATCCATGGATCCACACCGAGTGATGAGCGATGGTGGACACCCAGTGTGTGCACACCGGCAGCCAAGGCCAAACAACGGATCATCTCTGCCCCTTGTTCCAGTCTTACAGGGTAAACAGGCCCGTTTACTTATTTTTGTCTATTTAACATTTTCCACATCTGTGAGTTTTCACAAAATCCCCCCCAGGTAGTCCTAAAGCACGATCTAGCATTCGTAAGTGGAAGAAGGGAAACCAGGTGTCTTAGACAAGGTTTATTCAGCATCCTTTGTGCTGCTATTGGCTGTGAGTTCAACAGTAATGGATCAACATCAGACACTGAAAACAGAGTTTTTAAACAGAAGCATACATAAAACAAGTTTATGTATAGCCATGTTGATGAAACCGCTGAGAACAGAGGGGAAAGGATGTAACCTCGCGATGTCCCTAAGGGAAGAAGGGAAGGTGCTCAGTATTCACTAGCTCAAGCACAAGAAGTGACTCTGCTTGACCAAGCCAGAGGCTGTGCTTTAAAGACAAAAAGACCTGTGAGACTGAAATGAGAACTGGGATATTAGCCCACTGGCAGACTTAGAGTCCTGTGTTACTTTACGAGCAGTAGAGCAATGGCCCCAGTGACGCTCGGGGGCTCTGCCTCTGCAGCTGGCACTTAAGAGATCGGTTCTCATCTCCGCCATCGTCATCTTTCCTCCAGCAGGTAGATTTGCCGCCCAGTGCATCTAGGCCTCACCCACAAAAAGCAAAGCCACCAGCACCTAAGCAACAGAATTAAGTGGGGATTAAGTGAGTTCATAACCACAAGGTACATATACAAACGCTTGGCAGCAGGGAACGCTGTATAGACGCAAAGTGCTAGTATCTGCCAGTTACTAAGCCACTTGGCAAACTCACCGACCAATGCTCAGGAGTGAAGCCCACTCTGAAACATAAAACCTTTGTGATTCACTTAAACCAGCATCATTCAAATGTTGTTACATACATATGATGGCCACACATGCGCAGGCCACTACTTTATAATAGTTTATAACCGTTATCAGAGGGATCAATGCCATCATTTTTAGAGATGGCATCCTGATGAACGTGAAAAAAACTTCAAAAATACACATTTTAAGCCCAATTTCCTGAACCTCCAACAACCAACACTGACAGCAGCAATCTCATGCATGCTTCCCAGTGCCTAGGTCACGAAGGAAGAAGTCATTCAGGCCCCTTTTCTTTCACTGAATCCACAATGTAATGCCACACCATTTTTTTTAAATTTTCTTTAACTTCTCACCAATACAACATGAGTTCCAAAAGATAGAAGGTCGTGCTCTCTTTGTTGGTGCTGTTACTCTTCACTACGGACTCCTCTCGGCACAGACACACACAAGCACACTGAATGAATGAGTGTCGTGTGTTACCAGTCAGAAAGCTGTTAGAATTTCAAGTTTTCCTTTTCATAGAAACAAACATCGATGCCACCTCTCTACTAAGTAAAAGCAAGGGAATAAAAAAAGATTCTGCTATAACCTAAAGATTTTGCTGTTTGGCTAAATTTCAGGAAGGTGAGCATGAACTGGAAAATCAAACTATCAAACAACTTAGTAAAGACCAAGTAGGATGGCAGTCATGCAACTTCTAAGAAAAAGCACCAGCCAACCTTGGCATAGCTTCCAAATTTTCACAAACTACATGACTCTCAACTTTAGTCTCTAATTATCTGTGTCCTAGGTAAATAAATGACATACACACATTTTTTCTCAGTTCAAGTATTTCCATATTATGAGATCCTATCAGCTGAATGTATGGCTGTGCATGTGCTACGGCATTTCAACAGCAGATCAACGAACTGGCTGACTCACTGATACGAGCAGCAGGACGACCTCAGGGCTGTCACAAGCACAAGCGACATGCATGGGCGTCCAGAAGTCTTCATCCTGGTGGTTCACATTGACACCCCTGTCAATGAGGACCTCTGCGATGAAGGCGTTGTCGTACCGAGCACACTGAAAGAAACAAACAGAAGAAACGGGAGACCTCAACACTGCACACTTCAGTTCAGAGACAATTCTGAAAGTTAAATGCTAAAGAATGCGTTTTCATCCCCCACTGACCTACAAGGTAAAGGACACACATCAGGCTTGGAGGGACACTGCGTCCATGGGCAGAAAGAATGCGGACAAAACAGGAGGGGATATTAAGCCAATCCAAATATCCTACTTGTGGGGTCTTCCTGAGCAATGAGGTTATCAGAGACCTTGATTTTTTTTTCTTGTGAATTTTTTTTTATTACATTGCATCATGCGACACAGTTTTACAGGCACTGAGATTCCCCATTCCACTCCCCAAAACCCGCTTCCCCCTCCCCCATAGTAGATTCTTCCATCTTGTTGCATCACCACAGATCAAATTCAGTTGAGATTTTTTTTCCTTGGAAGCATCTACAAAGCATAGAGTCCAGCATCTTATTGTGCAGATAAGTTCAACAGTTTCATGGGGAGACAGTCTGGTCTGAAGGTACAGCCGAAAGAGTATCATCCCAATCAATTGAAAGTCCCGACATTACATCAGTAACAATTTACAACGTAATGGGATTAGTTGACATGATATTGTGTAACCAGCATGTTCAAAGAGAGAGAGAGAAAACAACAACAACAAAAAAGGAGTACAAGTTCTGAACCACATCCTATGACTTCTACATTGACATTACAATTATTAGTTTCTATACAGCTGGGTTCTATACACCTTAAAATGGCTATAGATTACTATTCAGCTGCAGAGACCTTGACTGATTTACGATCATCATCTTTGTAAAATGCTGATTCGGTCACACGACTGTCTTGTTTTACAACATGCATTGCCTGTCATTTCCAAAAGAATAAAATGATCCTTTCTTCTTGTACCCAAAGTAAACAAGATTCTCCAAAATTTTTCTTCTCTCATTTTCCACAATTCTCACACGTGGCATTGACCCTGGGGGCATAAGACTAGAAGGCGTTGCACATGCAGCATTGCAAAAGTGAACTGTTTAAGTTTTCCAGTATAAATATTCATAAATTCATATTTTATTTTATAGATATTCCATAATTTCCCAAGGCAAACTATTCAGAAACTGACGTTGTCCTTATTTTCTATGAATAGATGACACAAAAATAAACATGACAGAGAAGTCAGGCCTGACTTGCCAAATGCACAGTCCATGCAGCTGTATGGGAATGGGGCCTGTCATTTTTCTTACGGTTCTGCTATTACCAACTTGAATTTGTAACATATTTTGAAAAGTCCCTCATAGTCACCCAGCACTGAGCTCTGCAAATTTCCTGGCCTTATACCAGACTTGTCCATATTTACATCTATGTGTTGTATTAATGCCAAATGTGTAATGGTAATATCAAGCAAAAGGAACCTATTGAAACCCAGTCCCTCATCAGTGCTTTGAATGCAGGTGCGAGACTCCATGTGGTTCCGGCCCCAGGCCACCATCTCTGGGCTCACTCACTGCACGGAAGAAGTGGTGCCGCTTGCTGCACACACTCAGAGCTCATCTGCCTCTCCAATAGAGAATGCTGTGGAGGCCAGTATTGTCTCAAGGGTTCCATTTTGTTAGGGAATTTCAGTTCTGCACAGAACGTAACCATCACCTGCCTTTAACCACGAGGCTGACCGAAGCCTGCTCGGCCATCACCAAGATTCCATCAAGGACATGACATTGCCGACCAACCTGGAACATGTAACTGGCCCAGGCAGTCCAGTTTCAGGCAGTCCTTCATTGCCTGGCCAGAGAAAGAAAGAAAATTTCTATGACCTCTGGAACAAGGGAAACCAGCCCTCGACCTTGCATGAGATTCCAAATGGCAACACATGAGGGGTAACCCTGCTGGACGGCGGCCCACTCATACAATGCCTGCAGCTCAAGCGGGGCAAGCCAGTGGGAGGGAGAGCGCACAGCTACCCACTGAAAGGGTTTGGGACTCTGAGGCCCCTGAGCGGTGGCTCGGCAGCACAGGCTTTCCAGTAAAGGAACCAGGGACGGGGAAAGAACTGTTGAGAAGGTACACAGCACCTAAACTTCGTAAGGCAGCGCCAGTTCGCACCACTGGCCTCATCTATCAACGCAGCAGTCTTGTCTCTCTGGAGGACATCTGTCACACTGCAAACACTGTTCTGTCCCAACCAAAGGGCGTACAGCTGCGTGGACTGACTTCTCTGCCACATCTCCTGAGTGACAATGATGGCTCAAGTACCCGGGTCCCTGCCACTTACACGGGAGACTTGGACTGCACCCTTAGCTTGTGGATACAGTCTGTGCTAGTAACAGATCTATTCTGTCTGTGCTTAAAAAAAAAAGGGTATTTGTAGATGCCTGGAAAAGCACTGAAAATTGGAGAAAAACTGATCAATAAAAACAAAACCAGGAGACAAACATGTTAGAGTAATCAAAGCAGGATGTTAAAACCATTAAAATGCTGTATAGCTGTGGTTCACAGTTACACAGCCTGCGTGGCCTGTCTCCCGAGTGAACTACAACTACAATGCAAAACCTCAACGTGAGGTCCCAGGGGATGAGGTCATTAGCAGAGTTCATTCACAGGGTGCAAGCAAGGGCCTGGAGCGATGGCAGACATGCTGCTGGTGACAGAGCTTCTGCTTTGGAACCAAGGTATCGGGGTATCTGATCCTGATTAGATGGAGTCAAAACATCCCCTCTTTGGGTCCCTGAGAAGTGGAACACAGCAATACCAGGTTTGGATACAAGGACAGAGGCAATCAAGGGCACAGTTCTACCGCTCAGTAAATTCCAATAAATTGGCTTTAAAATGTGGAGCCTGGATCCAATTGGTTTCAGGAAGTTCATGTGCAAGTAATTCCTCTTCTAGTCCTGGTATCTTTTATTACAGCTCACTGCATAACAAACAGCCACATGACTCTCCTCCTGTCCTTGTCAAGATACGCCCCACCCTGCACCTTAGGAATCCACATGTGTAATTCAAAGACACCTGAGGCTCCGGTTTCCAATGTCTTTCACTAAAAGAGTTAATTAGTTCCAATGTTGAAGGTGATATCAGCCCTCTTGCATGATGTGATTTTTAGACTTGCATTTCAGAGCACTATGAATAATAATTTGACAGCAATAAATACCTTGTAATCACACTTGTCGGAAAAGATTAAGGTGGTTAAGCACACCCGTGCAGCGTGCTTACACTAACATTTCCAGTAGAGGGAATCCTCCCCAGCATCAATCTTCTTCAGTAGCAAATCAGTATCCCACTTCCCTGCTGCAGGCGATTTCTGGAGACACTTGGTGGTCACATGCCATCATGCTCACCAGAACTCTGCCACCACCTGCCATTGCTACCTCAGCCTGGAGCCAGGAGCAAGCACTGGTCACCTTCATCTACTTGTTCTGGTGCCAGGCAGAAGTAGGAACACAGTCGGAGTGGTGCCCTGCGCAACACAAAAATGTGAGGCCTCCCATCAAAAATGGAACTGAGAGCTCCAGGATGGGACACCAGAGCCTGAAGCCCATCGTGGCACAGTCTCTGAGGGACTGTGTGCCACACGCTTCCTGAATGCCAAGTCCCTCACTAGCCAGGGAGCCATCAGCCTCTTTCCCACCAAGCCTTTAGAACCCAGAACTTTGTAAACAAATTTTCCCCATCTGAAAATGTCCAGAATATCTCAATGGAAGGTGTTGTCCCTACAGACACCATCTCGGGTCTTTGGTCCATATGGAGTTTGCGCAGCCTCTGCAGTGCAGCTAACATTAGTATCCCCCAGAACCCCGACAGCCCGGGCATCTTCTGAGCTTGTGGATAAAGTCTTCTGTAATCATTAGAATTTCATAGATCACCACATTGAATATGTTAAAAAAAATAAAACTAAAATACTAATAAAGTGAATCCCCCTCCCCAAAGAATCACTGGATGTTCAGGTTAATGTCCTAATTCCTAAATCCACCGTGAACATCCTCGGCTTCCAACCTGACGACTTCTCTCTCCCATGGAGTCTTGGGAACCCTGACAATAGATCTGTGTCCAACTTGAGCACCCTCCACAGAGGAGGGACCACCAGAATTGGACTCTCCAGCCTACTTGAGGCATCAACTGCCTTCCGTCCTGGACGTCACTGCCATCACCTGCCAGTGCCATCAGCACAGTCCTCCCGACTCTGCAAGCTCCCACACCATGGCTGGATATCCACGCTGCCTCCTGGAGCTGACACACACAGAGCAGGCCATGGTCTGTGTGCTGGGGCTGCTCACGCCTTTAATGGTACAACTAGCAAGCGACGAGCAGGCACTGTGTTCTTTCAACTGCTACAAAATGCTTCTGAACAAAAACAGTATTTCTCAATGTGCAAACTCCATATAGACCAAAGACCTGAGAAACCAAATGACAAAGACAATTTTAACCTGAAAATCCACTTTTGTTGCCCTCTGTCTTGGCATCAGTATTGTTCTACTGATTGGCTAATGAATATGTCACTCAGAAAAATAAGAGAATCAATTCAAATATTTAAACTTCACTCACCAAATTTCATGGTTTATGCAAGGAAATTACCTTGCTTTTCTCACATGAGGGCTGAACCTGCTGCAATGATCATTTTCCCAATATGTACATTTTCCCAATATGTGGGATTGGAGCTTGTTTTCCATGTTTTTTGTTTTGATTACGGAGCAATCATGGTAAGGAAATTAGAGCTACTGGGATAGCATTCAGTTTTGTTGCTGGATTGATTATAGCATGAATATCATGTACTATGTATAGCCCTACTAAATTACGATTACAGCTATATCTTCATAGCTATCTCCATTTAAATAGACTTATTTTTCTCTATATGTGAGCCTCTCGACATTTGGGCGATTGGGAGGGGGAAAGTGATGGATTAGTGGCAGTCTCATTTCCGTGTCCTTTGTGGATTCTCAGTGGTTCAAAAACATTTCCACAGAGAGAGAAACAGGCTGATCGCTTGGTATCATTAGCAAACGTATTTCAAATTTGTCCCC